CCACTGAGTTTAGAGAGACTTCCGCCACATCCAAATGCGATTTCTCCTCTTCCTCCACCACTTGCCTCCTCTCTCTTCAATTTCCTCATCATCATAGAAGGTGAGAACCAAAAGTGTTCAGTCTTTACACCTCTGCCCTAACATGTACTTCTCATCACATCTGAAGTACAATCCCCTTGTCCGCTTCTCCTGCAACTCCTTCTCAGTAAGCTTCTTGAAATTTTCCCCAAATCCCTCTCCTCAAGACTTCTCTTTTGGTACTTCAAGCAAACCTCCCGGTGCAGCTCCTTTGGGAGCTAGAAAAGTGATAGTCATCATGTATGATCCCCCTGAGCTACTGCCTCAAGCCCCCCCCTCTCCTCTCCAGATGCTTTTGGTCCTCAACCATCCATGGCCTCCCCCAAGTCATGCGTGCGGCCTCATCGCTCTAACAGCTGCTCTGATCTCTTGTTTGAGCCCTATCATGAAGATCCCCTCTAATACGATTCAAAAAATTGATCTAGCCTGCTAGCTAGGTACTCAAACTGATCACGATACTCTGCCATGGTCCCCTCCTGCGTCAGGGTGAAGAACTTCTCATAGAAGTTTCCTCCCCTACTAGTTGAGAAATGTCCTAGTAAGCAATCCTTAAACTCTCTCCAATTCTGGATGGGTCACCTCATGTCTCTCGATTGATACCAGACCAACCCTTTCCCTTCCAAGCACGATCCAGCTGCTGTCAATTTCTCCTCCTCCAGAAGCCCATTGACCGCAAAGTATCCCTCTACCTTTTATATCCACTCGTGTATATCCTCACCCTTAAAGATGGGCATCTTCAACTTCCTTACCCTTGGGTTACCCCCGCTTCCCTTGAATCCTATGTAGCCCCCCATTCCTCAAAGAGGAGGTGCTCCTCAATTGTCACGCTCTTCCCTTCGGCTCTTATACCCAAAACTTTCTTCAAAATCCATCTCCTCCTTTCAAAATCAGCACCCCGGCAATCGTAATTCTCCCTTACCCTTGCAAAATCAGCAACTCTTCGTTCGTAACCCATGCTTCTCTCCTCCCTAGAACACAGGCTCTAGCGGGGGCATCCCTTCTTCTCCCTCCAAAATTTCTACTTCTAAATTTTTCCTTCGCCTAAACGGATTAGGGTTTCCACCTCTCCCTTGGCCGCCGTTAATTTCCTTCGCTTCCAATGTCATCGGATTTGGTTTGGCTTGAAGCAATTTCTTCAACATGTTTTCCACTACGGTGAACTTTCCTTCCTTCCTTTCATTGACGGATGCGATTTGGTTTTGAAATATTTCTCCTAATTTATTGAGCTTTATCATATAACTTTAGTATATGATAGATATGATCTTCACAAGTATTTTGACTGTAACATTATTAAATTTCATTGAGTAAATGAAAAGCTATACTTTTTTTTTTAAGTAAATGCATAATATTTGAATTTATAATTTTTTTTATTTCATATATTATTTCATTTCATACATGATATTAATTTATATTGCATTGAAAAAATGACAACTAATATGAGAAATATGGTATTTACATGTAAGTAAGGAAGATTGGTTGTTAACACTATAATTAATATAAATTGGCTCTTAAAATATAATACCCTATATAGGAGGGTGGGCTAATTAACTAGATTTCCTTAAAATAAAATGTTGGTAGCAAGATCTTGGTTGTAGCCTATAATCGATTGATCGAATTATAAAGACGGATAAAGAGTGACGACTCTTCATTGATTATTGAAATTCACCTGTTAAAATAAATAATTAATAAGAATAATGGACATATATGATTTATAGATAATGATTTATTGATATGACAGATGAGTAACAGATGAAATATCGTGCATTGCTTGTCGCTTCATGCAGGTGGATTGTAGTGCACGACAATCTACCTATATGAAATGGGCAAATGACTGTAGTGTTATGCAACGCCATCGGATATGCGACCCATACACAAGCAGACAAAAGGCGTGTACGAGCTTCTAAATAGAACGTTGCATTCAAATGAGAGTTTCCCACACAATTGAGTAGCGTTAAATATGTTCAAAATTCCATTGCACATGTACTGTAATATGTACACACATAGGTACATTAAAGGGGCATATATAATCATGAAACCAGCATGTTATGGGTACACACGTGACGTCTAGAGATGTTACGCGGGTCAATAAATGAACCTAAGTTCGTGCCCGTTCCTTCTACGTGGATAGATAGGAGTTAACACGACTCAAACTATCAAACAAATATACGGTCAGGGTGTCGATCATAATATTTGTTTTATATGTTTATATAAAGCCTTCAAGGTTTATGATAAAAAAAATTCATTAACAAAGGCATAAAGCCCATGAAACATGATCCTCTATCGACTCGATAGAGTCGACAATGTTCAATCTACAAATGAAAATGACCCAAAACACCTTGATGTTGGCCGTGTTGAATGTTTATCTCAACCGACGGGATTCACAAATACTTTCAAATGCCTCCCACATGTCCAAATGCCCATAAAATTCAAATTCTGAAATCCCAAAAATCCAAAGACATTTAAAATTGAAATCAACCATTCAACAACTTAAAACAAAATCTATCTACCATCCGCAATAGGTTGCATAAGTGGACAAGTTGAAAATAACCTCAACTCATAAAGAGCTAATGTCCAACTGAGAATATCACTAGGATTCATTATCAAACAGTCTCATGTTAATAAGGACGTGGTACGTGCCCTCTAACCGACGATTTTTCTACTAAAAGGCATCACAGGATAAACAGTTATGACCCTGGGCTCTCTGAACCGAGTGATTTTGCCGCCAAATGACACCGCTAAATTACGGTTATGGCCAGAGCCAATACGTTCCTTAGTGGCATCAAATCCTTAATATATGAATCAATAAGATATAATCGATAGGACATAAAGATCTCTGTTAGCTAAGGTGGATTCAAATTTATCCCCTTAGACAAATATTCACCCAAGATTTACAATGTCTCCTTGGACGAAGCAACCCATGGTTGCCGACAAGGATCCTTCTGTCAGGTTGGGTTGACTACCTTCTCTGACTAAGTAGACCAGGGACCATGATGGCCCGGGACGACAGAACCATGAGATCTTGATCGGGTCCATCATCCATTCTTCCACCATCATCTTTAAGTGCAAGATGATGCAATTTCAAAATTTAAATATCAAATTCTTTAAATTCTAAAAGCTTATGCTGTTACTATATGCCATATAAAATGTATATCTACGTATCTGATTGACGACTAACCTTAATCGAAAGTTTTCTCTTGTTAGCAGGAGGGGTAATTAACTATAGGGGTTGTGCCTATAGAAAACCAGAACTCAAATCATAAAGTCCTCGCAAAATGAGGGTGAAATCTCTGGACAGTGTCTTATCTACAAACCCATATGCCTTCCCAAAATTTACCCCGGAACTAAATTCGTTAAAACTCCTCGAAAAAACAACGGGGGAGGTTGGGGCCGAATTTTCCTAGTCCACAATTGCCAAGATGGGTTAAATGTAAAAAACAAAATGGTTTATGTTTTGAAATATCAGATGAATCCAAATCATTAGAACTATCTCGAGGATTGAATTGGCCTCGAATGGGCTGTAGAATATGATAAAAAACATTTTTTTGAGTTGATTCCCATATATTTTATGTAATTTCTTATTTGGGTTTGTTTAAATGTTTTCTCCCAGGCATGTAAAATACTTTGAACATCAAATAGTGAAATGTGTTTCTTATTTTTCTCTCTCTTATCAGTATTCTTGTAAAATGTGTGTATTTTGAGTGCTTCACAATTGTGGATGATTAATTCTAAGTGAAACTTTTCGCGCAAGCGTGAAGCCTGAGTCTTCCATTTTGTGTAGTTTTTATCCTCATTTATCTATTAAACTGTCTAGTTGCTGGTTTTGCAAGATTGTCTGAAATTTTGTGAATGTATATGCTAGAATTTCTGTTTGAAGCATGAAGTTGATTTGTTGCTAATTTTTAATGTTGTTTTTTTTTTGTTGGAATTTTTTTATTGTGGGTCATTGTTAAACTATCTTTTGGAATGAAACAAGTATATTAAAAGCAACACTTTTTTGTTAAAATTATGAGTTTGTAACTAATATATTATAACTTTGTATTTCACCTTGCATCTAAGCCTAAGTTGCATTTGAAATCTAAAATTTTAACCATCTTGCATCATGAGGCATCCCAATTTGATGTAGTTTATACTGGCTAGTTGTATCCTATGATGCACCGACACTTCTCCTCAAAGAGGCGTGCAGTGTCCGACACCGTATCCGACACGACACTCATCCGACACTCCTCCGACCCGTGTCGGACACGCCGAAAACGTGTCCGATTAAGCAAATATTAAATACAAATTGGACACGCGTGTCCGACACACGTATCTTAAATATTTTATGATTTTTTTTTTAAAATATAATTTCTTGTCTTTTGCTGGATTTAAATTAAATTTCTTATTTCCTATCCACAACACCAAATCAATGTCTGCACTTAATACCCATTCATCGAATATCTCATTTTCATTTCTCTTTGGCAATGAAGGTATTTTCATCTCCTCTCTTGGTGACTGATAAACTACATCGATGTCTGATTCTCGACATTTTAATACTAATCATTTTAAGTTAAATGATTTATTATTTCTAAATTATTTTTAAAATTATACTTATTTAATTTTGATACACTATTTTTAAAATATAAAAACTATAATACCGTGTCCAACCCGTGTCCTATATTTTCAATAATTGACGTGTCCCGTGTCCGTGTCGTGTCGTATCTGTGTCGCCGTGTCCGTGTCTGTGCATCATAGGTTGTATCTATTCGTTGATTGTGCCACATGCAGGCTCCACTTACGTGTTTTTGGTGCATTAGTTCGCACCACCTACATGATTTCATGTCACATGGGGATGCAATATCTCACATGAAGGGATAAATGCATTTTTTCTCCTAAAAATTCAGAAAACAGTTTTAACTTCTCTGATATTGGACTTGACTATACAGTGAATGCGAATGAGTGCTTGATGACGAGGATGCAGGAGATGTCCCTAGATTATCATTTTACGGTAGAACAGGAAGTTGGTTCCTCCATGTATGCTTTCTTTGGCTTCAATGGTAAGCATTTCTGCCATACAAAAATATATAGTTAAACAATTCTATTTAGTTAGGAGTACTACTTGATCTAGTTTTGTTCCTTGATTTCGTGTAACACTTTCATATGTGAAATGCAAATGTTGACTCAATTTGATTTTGGATAGGAACTGCTGGTGTTTGGCGTATATCAGCTCTTAATGAAGCAGGAGGCTGGAAAGACCGAACTATAGTTGAGGATATGGATTTGGCTGTTAGAGCAAGCTTCAAAGGATGGAAATTTGTATATCTCTCAAATCTTAAGGTAATATATGATAAAATCAAACAAATTTGTATTGCATCAATATTGAAGTAAATCTAATGGTTTTGAGATTGATTTTCTGATATGAAATTTAATGAGGATATATTGAGTTAATTTTTTTTTCCATATTGCATTTTACATGGTGTATTGGTGCACACTTTTGTTATCCAAATAGTGCTTATTTATTTATTCCAAATAACTAAGCAAATCATTCATGGCGCGTGCATCCTAAATACAGGTAAAAAATGAATTGCCATGTACTTTCAAGGCATACCGTTATCAACAACATAGGTGGTCTTGTGGGCCTGCAAATCTGTTTAGGAAAATGTTCATGGAGATCATAAAAACAAGGTCAATTAAAGAAGAATAAGCACAACCTTTACAAAATTTCATTAGTTTTCTTTGATAATTTGACCAGCTTTTCCTTCATGCTCTGCAGAGAGACTCTATTAAAGAAAGTGCATGTGATCTACAGTTTCTTCTTTGTGCGGAAGATTGTTGCACACATAGTAACTTTTATATTCTATTGTGTGGTGATTCCTTCAACAGTCTTTTTACCTGAAGTTCATATCCCAAAATGGGGTTCTATCTATATCCCCTCCATCATCACCATTCTTAATGCAGTTGGAACTCCAAGGTATGAGATGAATTACCATGGAAATTGTGTGAGCCACTTTCCTTTAATGTGTTTCTTTGATTTCCTTTGGTAATGTTGTGATGCTTTGAACATGTGTTATGATATTTTGAACAAAATAAAATCAGCGCTTCTCTCGCATATATAACATAAATCAAATTATAATGTCAGGCTTCATTTGGGATGGCTTTCTTGTTACTTCTTAAAGCAGTTTTTTGTTCAATAATTAAAATTTTTGTACTAGAAAGCTACTTTAAGAAGCAATAAGAAAGACATCCCAAACGAAGCCTCCATTTTTGAAAAGCTGAGCACTTGAAAACGCTTTGGTTGTCCAGTGATAGGATGTTGCTCTAATTGTTCAAAAAATAATAAAAATTAGTTTGTAAATTGAAGGATTATTCCCAGCAATCTTGATAGAAGTTTTATTTCTATACTGCACAGGTCTCTCCATTTGCTGGTATTTTGGATCCTTTTTGAGAATGTTATGTCCTTGCATAGAGCAAAGGCTACCCTTATTGGTCTCCTAGAGGGACGTAGAGTTAACGAATGGATAGTTACTGAGAAGCAAGGAGGAGGTGCCTTTAAGATGAGAACAATTTCCAAATCAGATGGAAAACAACGTTTCGTAATGGGCGATAGGTACTTTTCTTCATACCTTAAAAAATCTAAAATAAATTTGATATTCCCTTTTTGGTTGCTTGATCTTCCATGAAATAAAATATTACATCATTTGCATTTGAAACCATAGGCCCCATTCATGAAAAATTATTGGGAGATTTACATACATACCACCATATACTATTCTATTTATATATTTAACACCTAAAATTTTAATATTGCATACATACCACCCATAGTTCATTTTCATACCAAATATGAAGGGTAGAAATGAAATATATGAGTGGTAGGAAGGAAATATGAGTGGTATATTTGATATTAAAATAATATAGGATGATATGTATGTAATATTAAAGTTTTGAGTGTTAGATATGCAAATAAGATGGTATAAAGTGGTATGTATGTAAATTTCAGGTGCAAACTATATATCGCCATTTCGTTTGAAACAGTGTTCTATGAAACAATTTTTTAGGACGAAAATGTCAAATTAAAAAAAAAAATTGTACTAAAAAACTGCTTCATAAAATTCTCTCAAACGAAGCCTACAACTTTTCGTGCAGAATATCAAAGTACATAGCTGTTTGCTTGTTGTATACTTTTTTTTTATTTTTGAATGGGGTATCCATCAATTGCCACCTACGAAAGGGCACTTGGCTGGTTGACCTAGAAGAGGCACCCACCCCATAAACCTCTTGGCCCACACTTAATTGGTCCCCACTTAAGAGGCACTACCGCTCAAGGGGAATCGAGCTCGGGTTGGGGGTTTCATACCGTACTCGTCCACCAATCAAGCTAAGCAACTGTGGGTATATATATAAATTTTTTAAATACGCAGTTGTATTAACGTATACTCGACATGTACACAACATCATAAATATAAAGCGAGAAAACTATTATTTATTCATGCTATCCGCATGTAGAATTGCATAAATATTTCACATCTGATGTTGCTTAGTTTTTGCAAGTTCCATTTGAGTATTTTGTCATGTTCACTACCAGGTTGCACGTATTGGAGCTGGGAATGGGCGCCTTCCTCTTCTTCTGTGGCTTTTACGATTTGGCATTTGGGAAGAACTATTACTTTATTTACCTTTTCCTCCAAGCTTCTGCGTTCTTTGTTGTTGGCTTTGGGTATGTAGGCACCTTTGTCACTCGTCCCTAACATGTACATGATTACACAAATGCTAAGGCCTTTGGATCTTAACCAATTTTGCCGTTGTTTATTATCACAATATTTAGGCCTAATTTGATCTGACGGTTTATGTGCTTATTCCTTTTTAAAATTATAAATTTATTTCTTCTTTGTTGTTTGGTTTCTCAAATCACGTTCTCAATAAAACTATTTTTTTCTGATGTTTTAATAAAGCTTTTTATATATGTTTTTTCGTTAGAAAACACCTTTTTTTAAAACGATGTTTTTCTTAAAACTACATTTTACAAAAAAAATCAAATAACCAAACGAAGCTTTAGGCTTCATTTAAGACAGCTTTCTTACTACTTTATATAATAATTTTTTAGTACAAAAATTTCTTGAACAAAAAATTTTATACTAAAAGGCTGGTTCAACAAATCGTACAACTTTTTTTACCCTGAATTTATGGGCGGAAGAAGCTTTAGTTCTCAGGAGGGGCAAGTGGTAAATTTATAAAAAAATAAAAATATCATTTGATCAAGCATAGATTTTATTCAAATATGTGAATTATAATTTTTAAAGATTGAATTTTGAGCTCTTAGAATTCTATTTTCACTATAAAATAAGTCAAATCAAATATTTTAATGTGACAAACTTAATGAGAAAAAAAAAAAACTTTAATTTTAGTCCAAAGTGATCTTAAAAAACCCTTTAAAAGTATACTTAAAAAATTAATTACATTAATTGAGAGATCAATTTATCTTTGAATATTACCTGCTTAGAGCAATACAAAAAATACCTAGTTTTTCCTAGAAAAAACTCGGTATTGCTCGGTATAGCTCGGTATTGCTCGATATAGCTCGGTATAACTCGGTATTGGTCTTCACATGATGATATTCTTCGTTAATACCAAATAATAGCTAAAAATACCGGGCAAAAACCGAGTTTTTTAGAGGTGGGAGAACGTATCTCTATGTCAGGTGGGAGGACGCAATAAAAATTCCTCCAATTGGTGGTATTGTGGATACTTTTTGAGAATTACTTCATAACTTTGCATAGAGAAAAGGCTACCTTTATGCATGCAGAGTTAACGAATGGGTAATTTATCACTAAGAAGCAAGGAGAAGATGCATTTAAGACGAAAACTATTTCAAAATCTCAAGTATTTTCGTATGTCCACTGCCAGGTTGCACATAATTAAGATGGGAACGATATGATCACCTTTCTGTTCTTCTTAACAGAGTTCTTGACTAAAAGAACTCTAATCTACCGATACCAGAAAGAACAGGAAGAGAACAGTGGAGAGAAAATATAATTTCATATATATTACTTTGTTTCATTACACAAGTATATTTATAAGCTGCACAGCATAAGAGCATAAGAGATTGTTATCAAGAAGGGAAAGATCTTGATCAATCCGGTATGGAGGTGACAGGTCAGCAGGTTTTAACGTGCTGGCGTGTATAGGCGCTCTAATAGCCCACCTCAAATTAATCATTATGGGAATGAATGGTTAATTTGGATATGAGCTGACTGAACCTGGTTGCTGAGAGAGATTTTCTGAGAACATCGGCTATCTGATCGGTGGAGTTAACATGACAAATATTGATAGTTCTGTTTTTAATGTGTCCACTAATAAAGTGATAGTCGATTTCTATGTGTTTTGTTCAAGCGTGAAAAACCGGATTGTTGGCGAGAGCAATGGCCGAAGTGTTGTCACAAAGGATGAGTGTCAAAGAGGTTTGTGGTATCTAAAATTCTTCTACGAGGCGACAAAGCTTGAGAATGTCGAAGGTGGCGGATGAAAGAGATATGTACTTGGCGTCGGTGGAGGATTTTGCCACCATAACTTGTTTCTTGGCTGACCACGACACAAGGTTGTGTCTCAGAAATGTATAGAATCCTGTGATAGATTTTTTGTCGTTTGAATCGGCTGCCCAATCCACGTCGGTATATGTTCGGAGTTGGAGATCACCTAATGTGATTGGTAGATCAAAATTTTTAATGTCGTTAATATATCGTAGTTGTCTTTTGAGATCATGATAGTCGCTGTTTCGAGGATGATACATGTGCTGACAAATGAAGTTTGTTTCGAAGGCGATATCTAGCCTAGTGACCGAGAGATACTGAAGCGAGCCTGCTAGCTTGCGAAACGACCGAGGATCGGTGCATGGTTGATCCTCTAAGTTTCCTTTAGACTTTTTCACACCTATGGGTGTTTTGGTTGGTTTACAGTCAGAGAAGCTTGCTATTTGAAGGCGTTCTCTTGCATAGTGTTGTTGATGCATAAAGTAGCATTTTGTTGTTTTGAGAACTTGTATCCCAAGGAAGAGAGACATGTCTCCCAGCTTAAGGCTTTTGTTGGAGTAAAGTTTGAATTTTATGAGAGTTATTGACATAGATTAATATGAGGATTTGAACATTATTTTGATTGTACAGCAGTAGCGAGGGATCGGCTTTGCTGAATTTGAAGCTGAATGACTGAAGAAATTTGGTAAATTCTTGGAAACATTGCCTTGGTGATTGTTTGAGGCTAGAAATGGATTTGTGCACCTTGCAGACATAGCCGGGATTCTGAGAGTCTACAAACCCGATCGGTTGTTTCATGTAAACTTCATCATAAAGGTCTCAGTGCAGGAAGGCATTTGACACATCCAATTGAAGAACAAGCCAGTGGCAGTGAAGGGAAACCGTGAGTAGGATGCAAATTTTCATCATCTTGGCTACAGGGCTGAATGTTTCGGTATAGTTGACACTGAATTCTTGAGAGCATCCTTGAGAAACTAAGCGAGCCTTATAGAGAGCTTCTTGGCCATTGGGTTGGAGCCTTGTTTTAAATGTCCATTTGAAGCCTAATATGGGCTTGTCAGCTGGTGGTGGGATGAGAGACCATGTTCCTTGCCGTTGAAGGGCAATGAATTTGGAGGACATTGCAGATCTCCATTGTATGTGCTTTGCGGCTTGAGCATATGATGTGGGAGTGGGAGCTGGACAGGATACAACAGATAGGTCCAATATTTGCTTTGGCCGAGATATGTTAGATTGTAATCTAGTTTGCATATGATGAGTTCGTTGAGGTTGAGTGATAGGGATAGTTGGTGAGGTGGTAGGAATAGAAGAAGATGCTGGAATTATGGATGTAATTTCTAGAGGGGATGAGGTCACTTGTGGGAGAGAGGTTGATACGGAGACAGAAGCCTGCTTTTGAGATATAGTGGATGTAGGAACGAGGAGCGGTGGGGAGTAGGTGGTGATTGAAGGTTGTGGAGAAATCTGATCAGATTTAGAATGAAAGGGAAATTGTTGTTCAAAGAAGACAACATGGCGAGATATGTGAATACAATTTGTTGTGATATTGAGACAGCGGTAGCCTTTATGTAGAGTGGAGTAGCCTAGGAATACACATGCCTGTGAGAGAGGTGAGTGTTTGTTCGGGGCTTGCGGTTGAAGTCAAGGAAATCACAAGCACCCGAAGGTGCGCAGGTGTATATAAGCGACTGGATGGTCACGTAGCTTGTAGTAAGGAGTTTTATTAGAGATGGCTATTGATGGTAAGCGATTTATTAAGTAATTGGTTATAGATAGAGCCTCGGCCCATAAAAAGATTAGAGACGAGTGGCATGAAGTAGCATGAGAGTGACATCAAATAGATGCCAATGCTTTCGTTCAACAAGACCATTTTGCTCTGGCGTATAGGGACAGTGATTTGATGAGTAATGCCATTGTGTAGAAGATAAGTTTTGAAAGCATTGCTCATAAATTCACCTCCCCCATCAGATCAGAAGGTTTGAATGAGGGTGTTGAATTTATTTCTGATTAAGTTGCAGAAGTTTTGAAGCTTGTAAATGTTTCTCGTTTGGAATGCATTAGAAACAAACCAAGAAAATCTTGTGAAATCATCAATGAAGACTACATAATACTTGTATTCGTTTAATGATGATTGCGGGGCAGGACCCCAAAAGTTCGACAAACCAATTGAAAAGGCTTAGTAGAAGAGGAAATGCTAGAGGGAAAGGGTAATTTGTGGCTTTTAGCCACATTACAAGAAATACAAACATTTGACAAGTGTGAAAAATTACATAGTTATGTGAAGGATTGCATAGTTCTGGAATATATTCAGCTAAAACAAGTAGAAGACGAGAGAAGGGATGATCGAGCTGAGCATGCCATAGCGAAGTAGACGTTCTTGTGGCTTGGAGAGTGATGAGTTTATTGCTGGAGGGAATACATGCAATGGTGATTGTGGCCATGTAGAAGCAGTTGATTGTCCTGAAGATCCTTAATAGCAAATTCATTATCGTTAAAGCAAATGAAAACATTGTTATTGGAAGTTAATTTGGAAATGGATGGGAGCTCGTGAGAGAGAGAGAGAGAGAGAGAGAGAGAGAGAGAGAGAGAGAGAGAGAGAGAGATGGAACATGTAAAAGATTTCGAATATAAAGCTTACGAAGAGAATCATGTAATGATAGAATGCCTTGACCTGTGTTCTGGATTGGTAATGTACTCCCGTTTGCAATCGAGATCGAGTCTAGACTGTTGTAGGGGGTGGAGTGTTAGAGGTTGGAGACGTCCGAAGTGAGATGTGAAGTCTCATGAATCCAGTACCCACTCTGCGGTGGAGGGGTTGTTGTGTTGGAACATAAGTGCTATGGGGTTCGAAGGAAGAGCATAGTTCAATTGCACTGATGCCAGCAATTTAGCGCGGAGTGACCAATTTTGCCACATATTTGACAAGTAGGCTTGTTTGCTGCTGACTGAGGACCTTGAGGTTGCGAGGTTGAGTTGGAGATCAAACATGAGGTAGAACTGCGACCACAAGTTCTGTTGAACCGTCCTCGAGTGGAGGTGTTGCGATTTTAGAGTTGAGCTACATTGTCTGATTGTTGTTGATTTTTTTTAGCTGCTTGTGTTGGAGATTGATCTCCTCGCCGCATAATAGGGAATAAATAACGTCTAGACTGGTCAGATTTAGAGAAGTTCGTATGGTTGTCTTGAACGGGTTGTAACTAGTAGGGATGTCATTTAAAATG